AATTATGTAATAAAATACACATTTCTCGTAAAAGCACATTAAATACTTTTAGTATTTCAACTCTTTGAAGATACAGCAGTAAACATTTAATTTTGTTTCATTTAATCCTTCAGTTTGATGAGCAGATTTATAATCCTGGTGTTTTCCATCATTACATCTTTACCTAAAAGAATTTACTCTCATCCGTCACTAACAGAATTTTTCCTAACAGACAGGATTTGCTCCTGAACAGTTTATCCTGTCAGGAATTTTTTCCACTGAGAATTTTTTTTCTCCGCGGGAATATTTTCCTGACAACCTTTGACCTCAAGGTACCAACAGAATTTAGAAATCTTACATAAACAGAAACTATTTACGTTTCTCTACCAGAATATTTCCTGCACTGGAATCATTTCTTTGCTAAATGCATGCCTCCTTAAAATTTTTTCTTTCCTGTCATGAGAATTTTTACCAACAAAAATGTTTAAACATAATATTTCCTTCATAAAAATCTTTAACTAATCAAATCTTTAATCGGCTGACATTTTTAAACAGATTCTTGTTTCCTTCAAAACATATCCTGACAGTTTCTGTCAACTTTTCACTAACAATCAAATGATATCTGAACAGAATCTTTCCTGGAGTTAATAATAAACAAATAATAAACTCTTCCCTCTGTGGGAATCTTTCTTATTCAGAAATGTTCTGCTCTAACAGAACGACACCTCTTCATTTCTTACAGTTAAATGTTGTTTCAGTCATTCAATTATTTTTTTACAGTTTGTTTGAAGTTTGTTCTTTGGAGTTCACTGAAAACACAAAAACAAAAGAAAACAACAAAAAAAAACCACCTAAGTTAAGCTCTGTGAGGCTGTCAGGAACTAAAACAAATCATTTTTATTAATAATTATCATTAGAGTTTCTATGGAAGCTGCAGGAGAAAATATCAGATGTTGTCAATTTAAACCAGAAATACAAACATTAGCACAGATTAAACACAATAAAAGCATTTATTTACAACATGTTTGAGCTAAAATTGCTGTTAATAAAATAACTGTGGTCTTTATTTGACTGAAACTCAGTTTCACTTTTTTTGTGTGTTTTTCTTCAGTGACTTCACAACTTTTCACTTATCTGTTCAACAGACATATTTACAGATTATTTAAAAAAAAGACAGGACATTCATCTAAATGCTTTACTTTTGATCTTTTTACAACATAAAACAAGTAAAACTCCTAAAACAACGAACAGAACGACGACAGTCACACCAAATATGATGCTTCCATTGACTGAKGGTTTGTCTGAAAGAGAAAAATACATCAGTGAGCTGAAGTTCCTGATGTTTTATTATTTAATTTATTAGTTATCATTAGTTATTGTAAGTTGTTACCTGGAGTTACTCTGAGGATGAAGTGGTTGATGGTGGTCTCTCCGACCTGACAGGAGTAAACTCCTGCCTGTTCAGGAGATAAATCCTGTAAGGTCAGGCTGCCGGACTCTGACAGCTCCACCACGTGTTTCCTCCACCTCTCTGAAACATCGTAGGGGGCGTGGCTCTGAGGCCTGGTCAGGATGACCTGACTGTGGTTGAACCTCCAGACCAGCTCCATCACAGAGATGTTTGACTCGGTGCAGGGGATGGTCTTAGAGCGGCCGTTTGTAGCTGAAACAACAAAAACAAACACTTTTCAAGTCATCAGACTCCGGCTTTCATTTCAGTCTGTTTGTTTTCAAAGAGTCAAACTGTTTTTACTGGAGGTTATTCAGAGAGGAAGTTTCCATGKTCAGGTTACCACCAGGCCTGAGGGCGTTCATCTGGGGGGGCGTCTCAGCTACATGAGGGGGTCACTCATAAATTAGCCAAAAACAAGGCTGAGTTTAAAAAAATGGTTCTGCCCTGTTTGATTATTTTGACACTCTGGTCTAAAAGGTAAATATTTCTTTAACAAATGCAAAACGGTTATATTTCAGTATGTTGCAGAATYATCTGACATAAATCTAACCAGTGGTGGGCGGCACTAATCTAAAAATTAGTTACACTAACCCTAAAGCACTAACTTTAATATTCAGGTCCCCTAATTCTAAAGCACTAACACACTTTAAAATTTAGCAAAAGCTAATTCTAAAGCACTAAAATCCCAGCTGACCCGTGGAACATTCCTCAGAGTCAACATGAGACTAATTTAATTAWTTAAAACAAAACAAAATTCAACCATAACACAAACACAATGTCATTAAAATGAAAAATGAAAAGGAGCAGAAAAAAGAAAAACTCTTGTAACATCTGCCCCCTTTTGCCCATATTTTCTGTTTGCAGAACGTTGTTAATATTTCATCTAGTGTATGGTGGTTCTGGTTCCCAAGGTTGGGGTCGAGACCCCTTTGTGGGTCACAAAACATCAAGGGAGGGTCCCCAGATGATTTCCAGACATCAATCTAAATACAAAAAAAAAAAAGCTATTGTATTATTTTCATTATGATTATTGCAATTTTTAAAATAATCATGAATGACTAAAAGTTACTATCATAGTTACTAGGTTTGTTCATAGTTATTATTCCCATGTTTCACAGAGTAAGTTTACATTATATCTGGGGTCAGGAGTTTCTGCAACTGTTATTTTGTGGGTCGGAAGCAAAAATGTTAAAAAAAAAACCACTGATGTGGTGGAGAAGTGACACATGTGAACAACATGTCTGACAGCTTTCACCCTCAGCTGTTGACAATAATGTTGATCAATAACATTTAAAGAACTCAATTAGTGCTTTTAAATTTAGCCCATAAATTTAAGTGCTAATCCACTAATGAATTAAGAAATTAGCTAAAGCCCTAAAGCACTAATCAGAAAATTAGTTCCCCTATTAGTGCTTTAGTGCTTTAGGGGAACTGTGCCCACCACTGAATCTAACAAGCTTCAGTCAGGTCCTCTTGATGGTAGATTTTTCCACCTGGAGTTTTGAGCATCAGGACATCAACAAATAAAAACATTAAAGCAGCATGGTTGGTGGAAACCAACATTTGTGTAGTTCTCAGTACTTCTGGCTGCAGTTGTAGAAATAAAACTTACTTTGTTGCCTCAGAACAGCTGTTCTTTGGCTGCTCCGGGTTCTGACGGTGCAGCTGTAGATCAGATCAGTAAAACTGTTTAAAACCATCAGAGAGCTGTTGATGCTGTAAAGATGGGAACCAGTGGGACGGGTCGTGGATCTGTGCAGGACAGTCGTGTTTAACGGAGGGACTGTGGACCAGGTGAGTCCAGGTTCAGGGTAGATCCCGTCTGAGCTGCAGSTGAGCCTGTCTCCTTCTGGAGTGATGCTGACTTCAGAGACCAGAACTGAAAAATGTATAAAAAACAAAGTAAATGTGTTTTAACTTCCTATTTTAGTTTACTTACTTATTTACAAAGCAAGTACCTAGTACTTATGGGGTATRCACTGAGGTGCAAATCATGTACTTACAAGGTACTTATTGTGTACCTTACACTTACAGGATACTTATGGGGGCCGGCCTTTATTATGAAATGACTTGTTACTCTGTAACTATCTCCAAAGGTACTCTATATAAACCCTTTAGGTACCTAATAAAKACTCTGTAAGTACTCCATAAGTACCATTTAGATGCCCCATAAGTATTCTAAAAGTACCCAATAGGTACCAAGTGAGCACACCTAGTAAATATCCTCACAAGTACCCCATGGAAATCAAAAACATTAGAACCCTTTAAATACTTTGTAGATACTTTATAAGTACCCTATAAGTAACCACATAAGTGCCCTGAAAGGAAASATTAAGTGTCTTGTAAGCACCCTGTAAGCATCCCTCATGTACTCTTTAAATATTGCTACGAGTACCCTCTGAGTATCTCATTATGTACTCTACAGGTACTCTTTAAGTATTGCTGTAAGTAGTCTCTTTGTACTTCATAGTTACCCTGTAAGTACCAGGTATGTCAGTAGCAGGCTGTGTTGAGTATTTCTACCTAAAACCCTTTAAAACATGGATCTGTTGTAGTTGTTGTGTATTTCTGGTGATGTGGGTGTGAGTCTCTGTCTCACCATCAACTCTGAGGTCTATAACTGAAGACTCCTGTCCTGTGATGGTACTGACYGAACACGTGTACTGTCCCTCATCATCAACCATCACTTCTCTCAGCAGCAGAGAGGCGTTTCCTTTAGAGATCTCATGCTTGAACAGGGATGTTCTGTTACTAAACTGTCGGTTCTGGGAGTCCAGATGGTCTTGGTTCTGATAAAACGAGTGCACAGAGATGTTTTCTGAGTAGACATACTGGATGACTACTTCATCTCCTTCTTGGAAGCGACATGGCAGGATGCAGTCCTCGTAGTAAACACAGTACACRCTGGTTCCTGAAAGATTAAAGAAAGATCGTTAGTAAAGAACTGCATCAGATAAAACATTCATTAAACTGACGGCAGCTGTCTGAACAGGAAACACAAAACTAAGAACTTATTGATTATTATTATTATTGAGAGATTATTGATGCCATTGAGCCAT